CCTGAGATACTTAAACTCCTCCACTTGGTGCAGGACCTCATCCCTGACCCGGAGAAGGCATTCTACCCTTTTCTTACTCAAGACCATGGTCTCGGATTTAGGAATTGATTCTCATCCCAGCTGCTTCACACTCGGCTGCGAACTACTCTAGCGAAAGCCGAAGATCACGTTCTGATGAAGCCAACAGGACCTAGGGCTGGGCGATATGACGATTTTAGACCGTTTTACGATCTACACATCTGACGGTCTGTCATTTTTGAGAGACCTTTTTATCACGATTCACAGCTCTGCTGTTGAATTTCTGCCTCTGAATGAAAAGGGAACTTACCCCAGGCGAATGACACGCCTTTGTTTGACCCTTAACCAATCAGAGTGAGTCATAGTAATACATTAGTGTCCCGCTTGTTTTCACCTTCACCTGTGTGTGAACAAACATGGCTTCGCCGCGGCTGAGCGACAACGAGGTTTTCGTTCCGAAGAGGAACGCAGGGTTTCCTTAGCGCGCGGCGCTAACAACTTAGCGACGTGACATGTCTCGGAGAAAGCGTAAAAACACGTTGGACGCTTCTTCTGAAGCAGGAAAATAACACCGCTTCTTAAGCAGAGCACGACGTCGCCTCGGCTCGTCCACCCGAGCTGGTGTCGGTACCGGACTGAGCTCGGTCACTGGGTCGCTGGAGCTGCATCGTGACTGCCTGATGGAAAACCAGCGGGTTTCATCAGACTCGTAGTTTCTTGTTTTTGCTGGGACCCCCTGTATTTTACCGCTCCCTCCTGCAGTCTTCCCCTATTAAAATTTAAAATGATTCTGTAAATCCGTGTATCAATAGAAACAATCTCTGCCTCTGCCAGCTGCAGTAAATGTAGTCTCCAAATAATAAGAGGTGCATTCATCTGTGTATCTCCTTTGATCCGCATTAGTGATATTTTCAGCACCAGAACAGTGAAGCAAATTTATTAGGTGCATCTAACCTGTTCTATTTTTCTCTGAAATGAGATCAAATCAGTGCTTCTATGGGTTGTCTCCAATCTGCACTGGAAAATTTTACTTTATTTAGAGACTTGTTGCAGAAAATATTCAGAATGCGTAGTTATTTGCTACCACAAGCGATCTCTGGTCCAGCCGCACATCAGAGCCGTATTTGAGCTTAACTATCCACTACACGAGCAACTGGGAGCTACATAGTATTTTGAACAAGTTCATGTTTGCACAATACGTTTGCAATTGACATGTTTGCACTTTAAATATGTTTACGATTTTAATTTATGTTAAGTAACTTGAAAAACGAGAAAAACTGATTTTTGAAATTGTTTCTCTCGGGGCTTTTATCATCTCTGGTGTGAGTTTAAAATATAAGTGTGTTAGCACTGTGCTGATTATCCCTAATATGAATAAATGTTTATTTATTCAATGTTTCTCTTCTTTAATACGCAGTTGAAGTTATGCTATTCATGGATAAAAAAATCGTGATAAAATCGAAATCGTGATAAAATATTGGAAAAATCGTGATATTCTATTTTTGCCATATCGCCCAGCCCTAACAGGACCACATCATCTGCAAAAAGCAGAGACCTGATCCTCAGGCCACCAAAACGGATGCCCTCCACACCTTGGCTGTGCCTAGAAATCCTGTCCATAAAGGTTATGAACAGAATCGGTGACAAGGGGCAGCCTTGGCGGAGTCCAAGTCTCACTGGGAACGGGTCCGTCTTACTGCTTGCAGTGCAGACCAAGCTCTGACACCGGTCATACAGGGACCTAACAGCCCGTATCAGAGAGCCTGGTACCCCATACTCCCAGAGTACCCCCCACAGAGCCACCCGAGGGACGCGATCAAGCGCCTTCTCCAAATCCACAAAACACGTGTAGACTGGTTGGGCAAATTCCCACGCACCCTCCAGGATCCCCCTATGGGTATAGAGCTGGTCCAGTGTTCCACGGCCAGGACGAAAACCACATTGCTCCTCCTGAATCTGAGGTTCAACAATCCGACGGACCCTCCTCTTCAGAACCCCTGAACAGACCTTACCAGGAAGGCTCAGGAGTGTGATCCTCATGTAGTTGGAACACACCCTGCGGCCCCCCTTTTTAAATAAGGGGACCACCACCACGGTCTGCCAGTCCAGTGGGACTGCCCCCGATGTCCACGCGATATTGCAGAGCCGTGTCAGCCAACACAGCCCCACAACATCCAAAGCCTTAAGGAACTCCGGGCGGATCATATCCACCCCTGGAGCCTTGCCACAGAGGAGCTTTTTAACCACCTCAGTGGCCTCAGCACCAGAGATTTCAGAGGCAAACCCAAAGTCCCCAGACTCTGCTTCCTCACTGGAAGACGTGTCGGTGGGATTGAGGAGGTCTTCGAAGTATTCTGCCCACCGATCCACAACGTCCTGAGTTGAGGTCAGCAGCACACCGTCCCCACTATAGTGTTGGTAGCACACTGCTTTCTCCCTTCCTGAGGCGCTGTATGGTGGACCAGAATCTCCTCGAAGCCGTACGGAAGTCTTGCTCCATGGTCTCACCGAGCTCCTCCCATGCCCGGGTTTTTGCCTTGGCAACCACCCGAGCCGCGTTCCTCTTGGACTGCTGGTACCCGTCAGCTTTCTCTGGAGTCCCACAGGCAAAAAAGACCTGATAGGACTCTTTCTTCAGCTTGACAGCATCCCTAACCGCCTGTGTCCACCAGGGGGTTGCCACCATGACAGGCACAGACGATCCTGCGACCACAGCTCCGGTGGGCTGCCTCAACAATGGAGGCACGGAACAGGGTCCATTCAGACTCAATGTCGCCCCCCGCCGGAACATTTACGAAGTACTGTCGGAGGTGGGAATTGAAGCTCCTTCTGACAGGAGACTCTGCGAGACGTTCCCAGCAGACCCTCGCGATTCGTTTGGGCCTGCCTGGTCTGACCAGCATCCTCCCCCACCATCTGAGCCAACCATCTACATAAATATATGGACAATGGGTTTCCATAGACTCCAATAACAAGGTCTCTGGAACCTCCACAAGCCAGCAGCTGCACAGCAGACGAGCGCCGCTGCAATCTGAGATGCGCAGAGCTGCCGCTGGGGAGAACCGGGTGGAAAGGTTTCCATCCCAGAGCTCCACAAGCCGTCAGCCCGCGCAGCAGTCAGAAGCCGCGATCAGACAGAGATGCGCCGAGCTGCGGGGAGAAGTGGCGTATTTTGGCGGTTCTGGCTTGCCATAAGAACCAGCCGTCAGCCCGCGCAGCTAACAGAAAGCGCGATCAGACAGAGATAGACGGGCAAACATCGGTCTCCCGAGAGCTCCACAAGCCGATAGTCGGAACCCAGCTCCACCAACATGTTATATTTCAGGGGTCGGCAACCTGTTCCCATCAAAGAGCCATTATTACCCGTTACCCACAGTAAAGAAAACACTGGGAGTCAAAGTTATCTTTCATAAGACGATAATCAATAAAACGATTTATATAAAATGGATCCAGAAGCTGTAGCCCGTCTCTGCCGACAATATTTTGATATTTTTCACCCTGTTGGTGGTTTTACTGAGCAGGTGCCACGTTTGTCATACGTTTCTTTTTAAAACATGTTTAGACTGTTCAGAATACAAATCCAGGCTCTGTCACGTTTGATTGTTGTAATTAAACTTTGTAGGTGGGGAAGGTCAGAAAAGGATCCGATCAATTTGTTTTTCCCTCATTTACAGTGACGGAGATAACGGCACAGTGCGCCTGGCTCTGTTATATTTCAACCCATTTTCTAAAGTGCAGCATTATGTTAAATGCACTGGGTTTTACTCTATTACATTTAAATTTCATGGTTAAACAGTACATGTTAAAATCTAAGCTCAGCTCGGCAGTGACCTAAAATACATAAATATAATTTTACTTACCGAAAAAAATGAAGTGGAGACTCCTTGGACGCTCTATTAGTGCAATTAATGCCACAGCAAGTCATTTTGTCCAACAATTGCACAAAAAATATCCAAAAAAGAATACACACACACAGAGACTCAAAATCCCGGAGCAGTTTCCAAGCCAGGCCGAGGCTCTACTGAGGCCTTTCCACGGAGCTAGCTTTGTGGTCACGTGGGTCTGATGCTCATTATACAGAATTTTGGGGTTTTAATACACTTAAACAGAAGAGTGAGAAAAAAATTCACCCCCCTCAGAGTGTAAACTAGATCATTTAAACCAAAAACATGTTTTGGTACCAGGCTGTAATCATGTTTATTTCTGCTGTGAAATTGGTATTTTTAACATGGGAGTCAATGAGAATTTGCTCGTTTCTGACACCAGCCCCTAGTGGATGAAGGTGGAACTGCAATTTATTTCACTTCCGGGTTTGACTCAATTTCAGAGCTGCATTGTGGAGGCCTGGAGCCAACTGACCACCAGGTAGTGGTCAGTTGACAGCTCCGCCCCTCTCTTCACCCGAGTGTCCAAGACATGCGGCCGCAGGTCAGATGAAACAACAAAGTCGATCATCGAGCTGCGGCCTAAGGTATCCTGGTGCCAAGAGCAGATATGGACACCTTTATGTCTGATCATGGTGTTCATTATGGACAATCCATGACTGGCACAGAAGTCCAATAACAAAACACCACTCGAATTCAGATGGAAACGCAATGAGGACATGAAATCAGTAAGGCACACTGACACGTGAATGACATCGGGACAGACGAGTCGCTGCATCTAGATGGGGTCGGTCAGCGGTCTGTTCCAGAGGGCAGACCTGTAACATGTGGGTGTCAGTATAAACATACAAAATCCACCCGACTTACAAACGTTCCTTTTGAGGGGTCTAGTCCCGCCCACCTACTGTCCATGGGTCTGGGACTAGGATCCTCATCGGGGAGAGGGACACACACACACACACACACACACACACACACACACACACACACACACACACACACACACACACACACACACACACACACACACACACACACACACACACACACACACACACACACACACTCTGTGTTAACGCTATGCCTCTGACTCTACAGATGAGTCACACGGGGGAGATAAAGAACTGCTCCCAGGCGGTGACAGGGGTGAGTGTCACACATCTGCACTTCTCTGCAGCATCTTTAGTCTGATCACTTCCTTCTTCTCCTCAGTTCTTTGCCAGCATGCTCACATACCCCTTTGTTCTGGTGTCCAACCTCATGGCGGTCAACAACTGCGGGTGAGTGTGTGTTGGGTGATACACTCCGGTCTGTCTAATCTGAAAAACTCACTCGTGTTGTCCTGCCAGGCTTGCTGGGGGCTTGCCTCCTTATGCGTCTGTGTATCCCACCTGGGTGGACTGCTGGAGGCATCTAAGCAGAGAGGTAATCAGATTACATCCCACCCATGTTCCTGTTGGTTCTGGGGTGTGTTCATAACCAGTCAGGTCCCTCATAACGCACATAACCAGGAGTGTTGGGTTCATTCCTGGACATAAAACAGTAATCGGATTACATCTTCTGGTTCTGCATCACACCCAGGACCAGCTCCTAGTTCAGGACACGTGTTTGGTTGGAGGAGAACAGAACTGTGTGTGTGTTGGTCTGATCCACAAGGACCAACGTGTTCTCTCTCATTCCAGGGTGACCTGAGCCGAGGCAACAGTGTGTTTTTTCGGAAGCTTCCTGCAGGAAAGACTTACACATCTGAGCAGAAGAGGTTCTGTTAAAGCTGCAGAACCGAAGCTGCGGAGAACCCGGGGCGGACAGCGTCGACTCAACTGTTTATCAGTGTGCTGTCGTCTGAAACCACGACAGGGTGACCGCCCCTAATGTTTGCTAGATAAGGTGGTGACACGTTGCATGTGGTAGTGTGTAATAACGGGTGGAGGAGCGGAGTAAATGCCGGGATGAGACTGCTCCCTCTGACAGCCAGCTGTGCTCCTCTTGTTCACGACTGTGTAAAACACGGGTTGGTAACTAATTCTCCTTTCCTAGAAGTCACAAACCTTACTGGTCTTCTACTGGGCCGCTGCAGACCAGTCCTTTGTAATGGAAATCTTTTCAGTTAATAACACATTTTGCATTTACAACACGTACAAGAGAAAAAGGTTGTATTTTTTGTGATGAATCTGAATAAATCTGGACCAGTAAAGGTTTCAACAACAAGCTTTTATTCTGTGGGCTCCTTTAGGTTCTCACACCTGCCGATGGGTCTCAGGGTTGGGGCAGCTTTACAGGGACAGGCCACCCATATTAACCTGGCTGTACGCCGTTAGCTTTAGCTTAGTATAAACACCGTTAAACTAGATATGCCAAAGCAGTAAGGTTCAATCTAAAATGGCGCCTGTGATGATTTTCACCTGCAGTCCGTCTGATTTAGGTCACCAAGCAGAACTGGGATCACTACGGAGGGATTTGAAGGGCTCACGATGCTAGTTGGATCATTTAATTACGGTGCTTTATGCTAAGCTAAAGGAGAGCAGAATGACCGGGCTGCTCTCTCCCACTTATCTAGCTCTGGGAAATAAGTACAGACAAGATTTCAGTTTCGGGTGGAGAAACTCTTTTTGCAGTCGGTCCCTAATATCCAAGAGTCCCAACAGGATGTTTATCAAGTTTACTTTCTCAGAAAAGCTGACGGTAAACCAGGGCCCGGACCGCGGCGTCAGCTGTTTCCTGGGTCCCGTGCCACCTTGGTGCCGCTGTGGTGACTGTTGATGTGCTGGGTCATTTCCTTACGGTTAGTCACCGTGTGTCCACATTGCACGCAGGTGTAGCGCCCCCTAGTGTGTTCCCAGAGGACACGTCTGTTGCAGGACGTCCCTAAAGAAAAGCGACAGTTGCAGCGGTTATTCAGACAGGCCGGTGAGAGGTAAGTGCTGTCAGCGACAACTCTGACCAGTAGATGTAGTACATTAGTGTCGTGTTCTGAGGTTTTAATGGCCTTCTTCAACCTCATCTAAAGAGCCAAAGGGACAGGCTGAAGAGGACCAGGGTCATCTAGCGCAGTCTCCTGGTTAATGAAGATATTGTGGGAATACTGGAGCTTACCAGGAGAACATGGATGCCCCACAGAGCAGGCTGAGGGGAGGGAGCCGGTTTCAGAAAACTAGAAAAAGTCTCACCTTGGTTCTTCTTCCAGACAGCGGAGGAGCCAGGAGGAGAGTGAAGAGCAGGTGGGAAAGGCCCCGTGGTCCTGCTCTGGGCTTCAGGAGTATCAGAGTCATGAGAGGGGGTGGGACAGGGGCCCGAAGGGAGGGGGACAGGCTCCTGGAGAGGCAGGATGGGGGGGCCTAGCACAGGGGGGTCAGCGGAGTCCAGCAGAGGAGCAGCAGAGAGGGACTCCTGTGGGTCGGAGACCTGCTGGGTTGAACAAACTGACTCTAAGTGGGGGGGCTGCTGCTCTGCAGCATTAGTGGTCAGATTTGGACCAGCAGCAGCAGACAGAGGGGGGGTTGGTTCAGTAGCCTTTGATTTGCTTCGGGGCACTTTGGAACAGGTGTGCAGGTGTGCCAGGAGGCCACGGTAGGACCGCAGCTTTGTGCGACAGCTCTCACACCTGAAGGAGCAGAAGCTTCATGGAGTTAACCAGAACAAAAACAGCAACGCTGAGCAGCAGCACTCACTGGAAGTAGATGTTGGGCTTATGGTGATGCCTCATGTGTTCCATCAGCTTATGCATGTTGGGGAAGGACCTGCCACAGCCAGCGGAGGAGCACAGCAGCACCTTACCTGTGGACAGCAGACACCTTGTTCACCTGATGACATCACCTCACCTCCTGTCACACACGAACCACCTGGGTCAGACTGCCAGCTGCCTCGACCACGGGGGCTTTAATAACTCACGGTCAACCTAATCAGACATCATCTAAGGATGATCCAGGCTCTCTCTCTGACTTATCCCGCTCTGAGATGATATTTCATGGACCAAGCAGGATATGGACTCACCTGGGAGGGACTGTGCCGCGATCTCGTGGTCCTTGATGTGATTCTGCAGGACGCTCATCTCTGTGTAAGCCCGCTTACACCCGTGGAGCGGACAGGCCACCCTCTTCGGGGCTAAAACAGGGAAGTGATGTTTAAACAAACGACACATGTTCAACGTAAACGGAAAAGCTGGCTATTTAAGTGAAGAAATCCAGTTTCAGATATGTATCAATCATTTCGAACCTCCTCTTCTATGCTAGCTGCTATGCTAACTGCAATGTAAGTTGGTTAGCAATCGTTAGCTTTGTTACGAACTGGAATAACAAAACCAACTACGAGGACGTCAACGCAAAACACAAACCTCCGTTCTCATCTTCAGGTGCTGGCAAGGCGGGGAACACCGGAGACATCATAACTGTAGGTTGAGCTCAAACCACAGCAGCGGAAGCTGTGTGGTGTGTTTCCGGTAGTGATGGGACAAACGAAGCGAGGCTTCGAGCAGGAAGGGGGCGTGTCGCTTGCTTCATTTTGGAGTAAGTTTTTTTTTTGCACAAAATTTAATCTACAACAATTATGGCAATCTCTACAATGAATCAGTTTTACCAACATGAGATAGTATCAGAACAGACTGAATTCCAACGTATAGAAGAAGGATAATGAACAGGAAGTACAAACAACAACAAATAAATAAAATAAAAACAAACCCCAAACAGAATCAAAGTAAACAAATGAGCAAAAAGACAAAAAGCTTCATTTTGGAGTAAGGTCTAGCTGCAGCCGCAGCCACTACAAACCACGCCCCCTACAAACCACGCCCCTGTGGCCCCTACAAAATACGCCTGCGTGTTCGAAGACGAACTCGCATGCGTGTTGCTACACCAGGTGGAAATGACGGTTCAGGTAAAGACAGATTTATATTTTTACAACATGCAACGATTTTTTACGTTAAATTTGAACGTTTAAGACATAGTTTGATAGATAGCGCCTTAGTGATTTTTTTTCTGAAACACTTTTCTATAAAGTTAAGCATTATTGGCAGTGGGGGAAGACGTCATGGACGCAAAATATTTTTTATATAATTTTTAATGGGCTACATGCAAGCCTTTTGGCCAAAATAAATGTAACAATAGGGCTATTTATTTGACCATTTATGACTCCTCATCTAATAAGCAGCAAACTCACCATGGCAATGTGGTAGGCCAAAAATTGTCGCGCTCAGACGTGTAAAATTTGTTAAAATATGTAACAGAGAATTCCCTTAAAATCCATTCAGATATATTTTTATATGTCAACATTTATTATAGTTATTTTGACAAGTAGTTGCATGTATAGCATCCAGTAAATATTAGTCTGACGGTAATGTGTCCACGATAAAAAATGGTCTTGGAAGTGTGGTGTATTGTACTGTAATGTACATGCTGTTATGACGGTGATCACTAGGGGGCACTAGTGTCACATGTGTTGCTGTTGGGGTTGAAGAGTTGAGGCTGAAAGTAAAAGTTCGCTGGACCTAAACAGCTGTGTCTCAGTGTTTAATTACCTAGTAGAAACCCTACAGAAGACCTAAGGAGACCAGTAACACAACATGGTGTCAGAAGTTTGGCTGCCAAGAGAACAGAGACGACGGTTTGAGTAAGCTAGATGAATAAGCATCGGGGCTAACGTCTGCTACCAGGAAGATAAAATGGAGCAGTTTTGGCCGCCGTCTTCACTCAGTCTCGTCGGCAATCTGTCTGAGGCATGGCGCAGGTGGGAAAAGAGGTTCCAGCTCTACATGATAGCCACTGGCGCATCAGAAAAGGAGGAAGAGGTAAAAATAGCCTCTTCACACTATCGGCGAGGAGGCCTTAGAAGTGTACAACACACTCAACATTACCCCAGCCGGAGATGCACTCACAGTGGAGGAGGTCCTGAAAGCATTTAAAACATACTGTAGCCCGCAGAAGAATGTGGTTTTTGAACGTCATCAATTCTGGTCATACCCAATGTCACCAGGAATTGTGGTGGACAGGTACATTACTGAACTGCATCAAAAAAGCAAGGACTGTGAGTTTGGTCAAAATGTAGATGATATGATCAGAGATAAGCTGGTGTTCAGCATAAATGACTCATGTCTGAAAGAGAGACTGCTTCGCGACAAAAGACCTTACTCTGAACAAAGCCATTGAAATCTGCAGGTCAGCGGAAGCAGCAAAGACACAGATCCAAGCAATGCAATTGAACCCAGTAGTCCAGGACGCTTCAGTGGACACATTGAAGAAAACCCCCCATAACCATAATTAGCAGCCTCCAGGCCCAGCAGCCAGGCTTCACCATCAGCCTTCAGGCCCAGCAGCCAGGCTCACCAGCAGTCTCCACGCCCAGCAGCCAGGCTTCACCAGCAGCCTTCAGGCCCAGCATCCAGGCTCTACCAGCAGCCTCCAGGCCCAGCAGCCAGGCTCCACCAGCAGCCTCCTGGCCCAGCAGCCAGGCTTCACCAGCAGCCTTCAGGCCCAGCAGCCAGGCTCCACCATCAGCCTTCAGGCCCAGCAGCCAGGCTCCACCAGCAGCCTCCTGGCCCAGCAGCCAGGCTTCACCAGCAGCCTTCAGGCCCAGCAGCCAGGCTCCACCATCAGCCTCCTGGCCCAGCAGCCAGGCTTCACCAGCAGTCTTCAGGCCCAGCAGCCAGGCTCTACCAGCAGCCTCCAGGCCCAGCAGCCAGGCTCCACCAGCAGCCTCCTGGCCCAGCAGCCAGGTTCCACCAGCAGCCTCCTGGCCCAGCAGCCAGGCTCCACCAGCAGCCTCCTGGCCCAGCAGCCAGGCTCCACCAGCAGCCTCCTGGCCCAGCAGCCAGGTTCCACCAGCAGCCTCCTGGCCCAGCAGCCAGGTTCCACCAGCAGCCTCCTGGCCCAGCAGCCAGGCTCCACCAGCAGCCTCCAGGCTCATCAACCAGGCTCCACCAGCAGCTTCCACACCCAGCAGCCAGGCTCACCAGCAGCCTCAAGGCCCAGCAGCCAGGCTCCACCAGTAGCCTCCACGCCCAGCAGCCAGGCTCCACCAGTAGCCTCCACGCCCAGCAGCCAGGCTCCACCAGTAGCCTCCACGCCCAGCAGCCAGGCTCCACCAACAGCCTCCAGGCCCAGCAGCCAGGCTCACCAGTAGCCTCCACGCCCAGCAGCCAGGCTCCACCAGCAGCCTCCAGGCACAGTAGCCAGGTTCCACCATCACCTCAATACCAGCCACCTGATCCAACAATCAGGCTCAGCCTGGGGCTCCAGGCTCCAGATTCACCGGCAACCAGGACTGAGAGAAAGGTAAGCCTAATACAATGGCCCCTCCTAGAAAAACAGAGAAACTCGAGGAAGATATGGAGGAAATTAAAAAATCATTGAATTTTATGTCAGCCGAGCTGTCTAAGCTAACAGTACAACAGGATCAACTACTGTCATTAATGGATGAGGTCAAGACACTGAAATTCAAGCTTGCAGAAAAGGACAAGAAGATCATGGTATTGGAACAGAGGGTGGATGAACTGGAGCAGTATACCAGAAGAGATGACTTGGTGATAACTGGTTTGGAAACAAGACATAGGACTTATGCCAGAGTTACTGGAGATAGAAACACAACTGAGGATGCTCCACAGGAAGAACTCCAGTCACTAGAACAACAAGTGTTGAGCTTCTTGCACAGTAAGAACATTCATATCCAAAGTGATGCAATATCAATCTGTCATACCCTTCCGAGAAAGGCAGACAAATTAAAACCAGTCATCATAGTGCGATTTACCAGTAGGAAGTACAGAAATGAGTTGTTGAGGCAAGCAAAAAAACTGAAAGGTACAAATGTGTACATAAATGAACACCTGACGAAAAAGAATGAAACAATAGCCAAAGAAGCAAGGGTGCTGAGAAAACAAAAAAAAATCACAGCCACGTGGACAAGAAATGGTGTTGTATGGATTAGAGAGCAAGAAGGTCTGAATGCAAAAATGATCAAAGAGTTGAAAGATCTGGAAGTGTTGCAGGGTAAAAGATGATTTATTGTGTAGCGCTGACTAAATAATGGATAGTGGAAACAGTTTAACAATGGATATGGAAGTACAAATGAATTCATAAAGAATAAATGGATTCCCATGAGAAAATATATGAACTTGACAGTAAAATAGACGAAAGTTTATTTGAGTTAAATATAAATAGTAATTATTATGCAGAAGATCAGCTAAATAGTGGGTTAACTAACAATGATTCATTATCAATCATACACATAAACAGTAGAAGCTTAGTTTCCAAGATGTCAACAATAAAGGACTATTTAGGTAAATTTAAAAGTAAATTCAAAGTCATTGCCATTACTGAGACTTGGCTTTATGATGAAAGGATGACTGAAGTACAAATAGAAGGGTATGAACTTCATTTTGTAAATAGAATAAATAAAAGGGGTGGTGGTGTTGCCCTGTACATTAACAATGATTTAAAATGTAAATTAGATAAGAAAATGACTATGATGGAAGATAATGTTATGGAAATGGTAACAGTGGAAATTATCAATGACACAACAAAAAATATAATAATCAGCTGTGTATATAGAGCACCCGGTTCTTGCATCAGGTCATTTACAGATAAAATAAATGAGTTTGTGGATCATATTAAAAACAAAACATTGTTTATGTGTGGGGACTTTAACATTAACTTAGAACATCCTGTGGCTCTTAGAACATCAAGTGATTTTTTTGATATGATATATAGTTTAGGTTTGGTTCCTTTGATAAACAAACCTACCAGGATCACAACCGAAAGTGCAACAATAATTGATAATATATTCACTAATAGAAAGGAGGACGTTGTTAAAACTGGGATATTGATGACAGATATTAGTGATCATTTACCTATTTTCGTAGTGTCTAAATATCACAATAACAATAAAAATATCATAAAACATAATTGTATTAATTATAAAAGAAATAAATCAGTTAAAGCCCTGGAGGACCTAAATAAAGATCTTAAAATGCAGAACTGGACGGAAGTCTATGTCAGTGATGTGAACAATGCATATACATCCTTCATGAAAATACTGCTGAAATCGTTTAACAGTAGTTGTAAATTAATTAAAATAACAGGTAAAAGGGACAACCAACCATGGATGACTAATGGAATTAAAAATGCATGTGCCAAAAAAAATAGTCTGTATATGAGATTCTTAAAGTTACAAACAAAGGAAGCCGAAGATAGATATAAAAAATATAAAAATAAATTAGTAACAATAATTAGAAAACAGAAGAAAGAGTACTATGGTGAGCTATTGAATAAGAACAAAGACAACATCAAGACTACATGGGGAATAATAAATAATGTGATTAACAGAGATAATACAAATGCAAGACTCCCAAACTACTTTGTAAAGGACAATAAAGACATTTATGAAGTTAAAGAAATTTCTAATGAATTCAATGATTTTTTTATAAATGTAGGAAGGAGTCTGGTGGAAAGCAAACCAATAATTCACGATACAATGAATACAATACCT